GCCTAAGTCCACTAAGAGTTTTAACTCAATTCCCAGTAGTCGCCAAGCTGTCGCGACCTAAAATTTCTCTCAGGCTAATGGATTGTTAAGACTAAGCCTAACTCGGGCCCTCCCAAGCCCTACCAATTCGCAACTTAGGGTTTAAGTTTTTAACATGCGAAAGTTTTCATGCTTGGAGTCGCCACTAATCTATTTGTGGTAGGTCGATTAGAAACCTAAATAAAACATAGGGAGATATGTTTTATTCCTACGAACTGAGATTCTAAGCTCGGGACTTGATTACGCTAGATCTAGTCTAACGCCCTTTCGGTACCTTTTCTTTTCAAAAACATTTGTGCAGCAGTCTGGATCCATTTTAACTTAGTCACTAGCATGTGAGGTGATCATGCGGGTGCGCAAACCACCAAAGTAACACCCAATAATCAAAACATTAAATAAATTGCAAGATTGGGAGAATTACTTACCTCGAAGCAACGTAAGCATCTGCATTGTTAGCTAGAAAATCACATCAACAATTCTAATATGATTTCTAATTAACAAGCAGTTCACTCAATATTTTTTAGGATTTTCACTTATTTAAATGAAAACTAACGTATATGTAATGACGTGCAAAAATTAACATGCGATTAATGCAGCCTAACATGCAAACTATATGTCATGCGACGACGTGACCTAATTCTAATGACGGACAAATGATTTATTTTTGGTATTTTCAAATGAAATTCGGAATTAAAAATTACTCAAATTAACATGCAATCTATCCTAGAGAAAATGATTTGATCTATCCTAAAGTGATTCTTTTTTTTTTGGGGGATTTTTATTAAAATTCGAAATTATTAAATATCCTAAATAATCCACTAAGATTAAAATAATTTCTAATTTAAACTAGGAAATATGCCACCCTAAATCCCAATTTAAATCAAATAATTATCTTATTCTTTTGGATATATTTAAGATTCCCTAAGCATGCAAAATTTCTAATTTAAATCTAACTAACAAATTTTTTTGGTTTTCTTTATTTAAAAGAAAAACAATCAAACAAAGATACCAATCACATTCAAACAATCCACGCAATCCGCAAGATTCTTCAAATTCAGATAAGGCAAAGAAATCAAACTAACGGTCATATCTATAGGGTTATACATATCGACAGAAAGTTGATTGTTTAAATTTGGAAAGCAAATTAAATATATTATCGTATCCAAGTGATTATGGACAAGATAACGATTTTCCGTATCGCCGCGTATCGTACCTTAGGGATAAGGTCGGATAGTCGTCCAGATACGTTGCCAAATTAGGAATGATTCCTAATTTTTAGGTGTTTTCGAATATTGCGGATATCGCAAATATTATCCTAAGATATATAGCTATCCATCAAAATATTCACGAAATATTCGAATACCCGAAAACTAGGAAATTAAATAAATATTCGAATAATCTTACCTAATTGGCGGATAATTCCAAATTTGAACTCGTGGCGGATCGGGATCGCGGCGAGTGGACCGGCAACGGATAACCGATGACGGGCGACGAGCGATCGGCCGAGGATGCGGCGACAATGGGCGCTCGCGACCACGGAGTCGGCCGCGAGAGTGACGCAAGCAGCGGGCGTGACTCGACAGTGGGCTCTCGGTCAACTCGGGATCGGCAAATGCATCATCGTCCTTCGCTTTTGACCGAATCAGGCTGGTCTTGTAATGGTCTTCTTCGATTATCAAACTTTGACTATTTAAGCCCACACAATTAAGCTTTCCACTTGACTGTCTTCAATGCTTCAGTGTGTATCAAACAAAAGCCGATCTAGTCATGCAGGGACGTCAGACCAATTGCTGGATGTTGTGGTCTCGCATTGGCAAGAGAAGGAGAACGGTGACGTCGTGAGCGTTGAACTTGGAGCAGTAAGCGGCGCTCGATGGCTTCGTCGTCAGAGGGCTGGTTCAGCGTCGTTGTGTAAGGACTTCTCACCTTGGTGCGAGGCTTGAACGGGCACGAGCGAGCGAGGTGCGGATTCGGTAGAGATCGGAGCGAGGAGGGTCACGACTCACGGCCCGAGTGCCGGCGTGAGAGAAGCGGCGACGAGGCGGCGGCTCGGCAATCGCAGCGGTGGGACGGCAACGTCACGGAACAGCTGGCGGGGAGTCCGCGCGTGTCGAAGAGAAGCGGCAACCAGCCCGGCGTTGGAATGGGCGACACGGGCACGCGGTGTCGACTTCGGGCAGAGTGACTCACGGCCACGGGTCTGGCCGTGAGCGTGCGCGACGTTGATGGAGGCCCGGCAGTGAGGCCACACGGATGCGGCGGCAGGACAAGTCCACCCGTGATCCTCTCTCTCCCCCCGTTCCTCTCTCTCGCTCTCGTGTTTTCTCTTTGTCTTTCTTGTGTCTGATCCGATCCAAATGAAAAGCCCCTCCTTCACGCATTGCACTATCATCTTATTTATATGCCAAGAAATGGAGCCCACCAAGGAAAGAAAATATACAATATTTTCTCTTTTCAACCACATATTGCACAATCTAGCTTTGCAATTTCTTTCCTCCTCTCCCCTCTCGCACACATCTTCTTTTATATTTGTTTTGTCTTCTTCACTCCCCAAATCAGAATATTGTCCGTATTTCAGCCAATATTCCACGCCTAAACCGACAAGATTACGCCCTTCAAGACTCGGAAAAGAATCTCTCTCTTTTTTATCGATTCTTGATCAAGAATTATGCACCAAATATATGGCAAACATATAATATACACACAATCAAGAATATAACCTTTTGCACGATTTATATGTTGCTCTTGATCGCATGTCCCTAGATCGTGAACTTACGAAAATTCTTTCTAAGTGTAGGACCCCTCGCGCAAAAATAAATGGGCTAGGCCAAAATCTTTAATCCACGCGAGTTTAGTCCAATTTCCATTGAGTTCACAACCTCTGCACTTGAGTCCATCCGCCGCCAGTCCAATGCAAATGCAACTATGTGAGCCTAAATACAAATTCAAATGCTTCTAATCTATATGCTAATTTTTTGTCTAGGGACTGGGCTCGATCCCTAATTTTTATGCAACGAACGACTGTCTGGATTGTCAAAATTTAGGTGTCAACAAGTTGGGAAAAGTTTGTCCCGCCATTTGGAAAGGGTTAAATAAACAATGGCATCTTACTTAGCACTCACTCCAATTTACATAATTAGCTAACGAGCAGAATGTCACCGTAAACCCAAGATATGTAAGTTGCATGAGAAGCAAGCTAACACAGCTAGAAAGGGAATCACAATTTTGGCTCTCATTCTACTCTATGAGAGTGGTTCTAACTTGTAAAAATGCCCAAGCTTAAACTAATATGTAAAAAGAAACCATATGAATTTAAGGCCCGTTGGAAAACCATAGGTAAGTGATGTGGGATATTTTAACATCCCCTCTCACCAGTAAAGAGACAGAGCATGTTACGTGGAATTGACTAATGGAAAGCTTCACATGAGAAAAAAAGTGGGGGGAAACCTCACTCTAATAATGTTAGAATATCCTATACAAGAGTCTAAACTATTACGTGGAAGGAGACGGAATGAACATAAGGCCCACTCAAACCCCATGTAAGTTTCGGCGAGATAATCAAGGATTAAAGTTGCAATAGAATTATCTGCAAAAGAAAACCTATCAGCTCGAGGATGCCAGTGTTAGTTACTCAGCATTAACCGATAGATTTCGATAGGAGGATGCCAGTGTTGGTAAAATTCTATAAAGATGAAATTAGCTACTTCTCATTCTTGATAGGTGGATGATCGCTCCCCCTCATCTCTATGATTCAGTATTAATCTGGCATATACTATTCCCAGCGCACCAAGGTATGTTACCTTCGCTTTAACCAAATCACAACAAAAATCATGCATCTCATTGATGCTACACATTCGTACATTCGAAGAGAAAAATGTTTTGATACGGGTATCATGCTTGTGTAGGAGGTTGCATTGAGTTTTGTATGCGAAGAGAAAAATGTTTTGATATGGTTATCATGCTTGTGTAGGAGGTTGCATCGGGTTTTGTATATAATCTGGAAGGGGCTAAGAGGTTCGAACGAGAAATGATGCCAAACGACATGTTGACAGGTGAAGAATGCTGAGTCGACTTCCAATTCATCAATGCGAAGAGATAGATTGAGAGGCCAACGATATATGATCACGTGCCCCATGAGGTTATGAACCGATATTGATTTCATTAATGAAATTATTAATTGGAGGAGAACCTCTCTCACGAACTTTATTCCGTATCCCATAATTAGTGACTCAAAACTCCCTAAAATATCCTATCCAACTCCCTTACGAATTTTACTCAAATTTCTAAAATGTCGAAACAAACCAAGGATTGCCAATTCAATTCTAAATTTTTTATTATGCCTATTAAGTCCTAAACTATTTCACGTTTGCCAATTGGATCTATTTGGCCAATTGTTGCCGAAAATTACTGACATTGATAATTTTTAATAATATTTTATATTTTTATCGATTTTCGAATTAATTTTTTATTTCTCTTTTTTTGTTTCTTCTCTTTTCCTTCCTTTTTTTTTTTAATTGTGGTCGGCGAGAGTCGCTGGGCCCTCACCAGCCACTGGGCGAGGGGCCCCTGGCAGGTCTGGCCTCGCATGCTGGCCACTACAAAAAAAAGAAGTAAAGAAAAAAAAAATTTAAAAAGATACAGGACTCAATCGGCCGTATCGTGAAAAGGCTAAGGCTAAGAAAATAGATGAAAAGAAAAATTTTAGAGGAGATGGACATAGGAGAGTGTGTTTTCAATCATGCCTAAGAGCAATAGATGTCAACTTGACGCGCTGCACTCCCGATTAAGAAAGGCATCCGCAAATTTCAAGCAGAAAGCGAACTATCAGAACCATGCTGTAAAAACTTGTCCTCTTCTCTAAACTAAAATTGTATAGATCGCCGTTGAGATTACGATTTAACAATCTGAAACATTGTCAAAACATGTAGAAAGAGGAAGAACGGGAAGTAACATCCAAGCACCTATTCATCAAGCCAGCCGAAAGCATTCTGTTGAGAGTATGGCCAACGAGGACCGGTAGCAAAGCCAGAAGAATCGCCTTGGTATCCAAATTGCAGTCCCCCGTTAGGATCATGATACCCGTTTCCACGAATCACGGTTCCCTCGGGCCTCGCATTTTTCGTTCTCGTCGGATTCAGTTCATCCAAATGGGGAGCATATCATTCCATCGCTGACATGTTCGCTTGCTGGGATGATTCAGCGATGGAACCCGGGAGTCCATAGGTAGATGTCGAGGGCCCTGGCTGGTCCTTCTCGCCAATCTCTCTTCTGCGTGTTCCGCTAGCATCGGCCTTTTGCTTAGAGGACCAATCATCGAATGACAACTTCCCGTCTGTCAACTTAAGCGAGGGATGATGAGGTGTTTCCTTTGCAGGTGACTTCTCATAAATTTCTGTTCCACTCGTTCCTAAATCATTGGCCTTCCCCGTAGAAGTCCCAGTAGCCTGGCTCTCCCTGCTTTCTCTTCCACTGTCATTGCGAGAAAAACACCCTTTTTGACCTTCAGCTGTATCGACTCTGTCTTTGGTTTCTTCAGGCTTGCCCTTTGGCATGGAGGTATCACTTGTGAGAGACGAAGTACCGACGCAAAGGCTCCGGTCATCTTTCGGATAACGAAGATCCAGTGATCCATTGCAATCATCGCTTGACAGTGGCCTCTTTCTCTTCGTTGGCAAGTCACCCTGCTTTTGGGCTATGGTCCTGTGTTTTGCAGTCCAATCTCGACGGCTCCATAGATATAGCAACGGTGGCTTATTTTTCCACTGTTCAATTTGTTTATCCTCCACGTCAATGGACCCTGGCAAGTAAAATGACTGAAAATGAAAGGGTTACAGTTAAGCCATCAGATGCAAACATATGATTAGAACGATGAACAGGATGTCCCATTTCACCTTTCCAGACAAGAATCGATCGTCTTCCCACACCAGATCATACCGAAACATTTTCTCATCTAATCTGCAACGCAAGACTAGATTTAAGTATTTGCAAAGGAAAAAGCGAGGGCTCAAAGTAAAGTAGTTACCTTTCAGTTTCGGATGGCACAATCAGAATAAGGAGCTTTGGTTTGAATTCAAGAGCTTTATCAATAAACTTGTTCGCCAAAGCTGCTCTAACTCCGAAAGGAGGATTTAGCCCCATGATCTACTCAGGAAGCAACATAATAGAATGATAAAACATCCAATAAGGCATGGATATATTCAGAGAGGGAGGGAGGGAGAGAGGGAGAGAGGGGAGCGAAAGGGCCAATACACCCAACCAAAATGCAGAAGGCAAAGCAAAACTCTGCCACTTACCAAATTCGACCCAAGAGGTAGCTCTTTTAGTTGGACAGTCATCCAGTCCCTCAGTTCAAACTCAAAGTAATTCTGCAATCAAAAGGAGGAGAAACTATATAAAACCAGGCTTACACGAAGGCAATTCCAGGTTCAATTACCAAGTACATTTCACAGAGATCATAGCAACACTAGCATTACCAGCATATGCTAAGTCCACCATTATTCTTCTTCATGGCATTCATTGAAAACTAAACTAACTCAAAGCAAATGCTAAAGCATGAAAAATGGGTTACCAGAGGCCACAGCCTGGAAAGACCCTAACAGAGACTCCCTATTTCAACCTATAGGCATAAAAAAGAATCGCTAACAAATTGCAAGTGCAAAAACAAATGGGGAACATGAAAAATAAACCTATTTTCTAAACCACAAGCAAATTGCATTTAACAGACACAGACTAATGTTCCATATTATCCAACTTTTTGACAGTCGTGTGTGCCTCAATGTAAACACCATGCGCAAAAGGCACACACACACCAAGTGCATGGGTCACTAGTAAAATTATTTTGGCATACCTCAAGTTTCTTATACAAGCTTCGAAAGCAACAACATCCTGCAAAATTGTCATTACTTCAGATTTCAAAGTCCAGCATAACCAAAGTGGTGAGACCAAAGTGGGAGCAATGAGGATAAGGCTGAGAAAGCAGGTAAATGTGGCCGACTCACAACTACTTACTCATGTCCTCCTTTATGGTTATGGATAGCCTATTCCTCCATATTTCATAGTTAACAGGATGGCTAAGCTTTCAATTGCACTTCAAACCACGATCCAGCAATTTTTTACCAATTTTTGGTACCAATTTCCTTTCACAGAAAATTGACAGTGTGTCTACTCCACACTTAAAATTATAACTTCAAAAGAATGATATAACAACTCATGTAGGTAGGCTACATGAGTCCTCCTGAATCAACATTCCCTACTGAGCAGGTCATGGAGATAATTTTCATTCATTGCTGCTGCGCTCTGAAGCTCAAGTACCTCGACACTTCATCCTCCTCTGCGATGGTGTACAGGTCATATGGATGCAGCATTGCAGATATCGACTCTGAATGCAGAGAAATACAGAAGACATTATGCGAAAGGAACCACACTGTTCCTAAAGAAATCTGGCCTAATGCATTCCAGAATGAAGTTCCGTGGGATTATAGGCAGGTATATGAACCAACTAGAGATGCTATCAGACAAGCCATATCAGACTTCTATGCAAATAATCCTGTATAACCACCTCAACCTCTGCAACCTCCTCAACAACAGTCGTGTTCCCAGGACCCTTGGAGTGGACCACTTTCTCAAGACCCATGGAATTACGGTCCGCCCTCTGATCTCCAGAATATAGCCAGCTAGCCGCAACCGACACTTCCTCACAGGGAATCCGATGCTCCTCAAAGAGAATCCGATGCCAGCACTAGCAACAGCAACGCATCTCCAGATTCTCTAAACATAGAAAGGCTGCAGCTTACTTTAGACCTGAAGCGATGGAAACGCTGGAAATATGCGGATGACGACAATCCTGGAGATGTCCTCTAGTCTGACAGTGATTTTCCAAACCTCTCGTTGTGAATTATTGTACTGCTACAATAAGTGTGCCAACTTTGGCCAAAGTAGGTGTCAGTGTACTTTATAAGAGCATCTAATAAAGATGCATACTGCTTGAGTCTATGGTTGTGCTGTTAAAGGTCTGTAATACCCTTGGACCTATATAAGGGTATCATCTTTCAGTTGTGGAATAAGACCGAGTTAGGATAATCTCTATGGCATACACATCTCCTATGTCTTTCTAAACACTTTCCCTCTCTTCCTCAAGGTCTGATAACCTTAGATATTTAGAGTTGCACTGTTAGCTTGATAAGGTGAACTGGTTACATGATTTTGTTCACCACTTGCCACTCTATAGATATTGTGGAACAGAAAATTTGTGAGACTTGAAAATTTTATGGTATGGATTTGTGATTTCTAGAGACTAAAAGGCAGTCCCTTGTTCAAGGCCAAGGAAGGGCCATGTTTGTGGGATAGCATATCTGTCTCAGATATTCATGAGTGTTCCATAGGCCCTTCCTCTCGTATGCCAAAAACATTTGCAGCGAAGTTCTCTGGTCTAAATCCTCATTAGAGCCATCCCAAATTTTTTCTACAAATACACTTGTTTCAACTCTATCATCAAATGCACATACAATCATCGACGCATTCTTATCTCGAACATTCTGGTTTCACAAACATGGTACTTTCCCATCCAAAATTCATCTTTCAGTCGGGTTTTAAAGTCTTATGTTTGGGAACGCTGTCGTTTGTGCTCCAGCTCGCAGTACAAGCTTCCTTCTTTGCCAACTTATATTTCTTTAAGTTCTAGCTCTTATGCCAATACCCTTAACTCTAGCCTCTACTTTTTTAACTGTTTTTTCCTATATTTTCTGTACCTGTTTCTTTTACTACCCAGGCCCCTGAGAAGCTTCCTCCAAACCCTCTTTGACCACTTCTCAAACATAACCAGCTATAGATTTGCGGGTGTTGTTTGTTCTGTAGCTCCTCCAAAGACTGTTAGCATATTCTAGAACCATATATTAAAGGATCCTAAACCTGATTTGAACTTTCTAAACCATTAGGAAATAAAAAGAAGAAAGAAACTTGCATGAATTATACAATCACACTGTTTGACTCTATTGTATTACAAGCACATATTATATGTGATCATGAATGAAACTACTGTTTATTGGAACAAATTACATGATGACTTGTACAAATGGATGCTTGAGACAGTACAATTATTTCATAGCCAACCTAGTCTAACCTCGGATACTATACTCAATAACTATGGCAACCATATATTTCCATTCCACAATCTAAGGACTTGTCTCTTCTTTACTACCCTGGAACAGGAACAAAGAAAGGCTCTACGTCCCTCAACCTCCTCCAGTGAAACAAGTGAACAACCACTAGACACAAGCTTACTAACAATAGTAGCAAAAAAACCACCCTTAAAAAGATTCCCCCTCAAAAAATAAAAAAATGAAATAGCCATGCTGCAGAACTGTCTGCAAAGACAACTAAAACATTCTTCACACATAAAACTTAATGAAATGAGTTAGCACGGGCAAATTACCTTTGGTGGAAAAATATCATAATTTTTGTAAGAGCACTTCTTTCCGGTCTCTTCAAGCTTCTTTGCCATTAAGCAGCTAAAATCATTAGCCCCACAACAGAAGTCAACAATCTGTCGATGCAATTTGTATGAGTTGGATGAGCGACATCAAAGGACATACGAACAGAGCCATTGTAAGGGGGAAAAGTTTAAGAAGCAGATTTCTTTTTTATGGCACACTGGTGAAAGATTAAATATTCACACGAGAGAATGTGACGATTGTCAGATTCATTTGAAGAAATATAAGCTCAAGTGAAGCAATTCAGAATTTCAATCTCTCAGAAGGAACCTCACCAATCATTTTGCCGATCACATGTAGATCAGCGTGATCTTCTACATTTAAAATTCTCAAGCATCAAGAGTGGAAACAAACTACTAAGCGTAACATTCTTACCATGTCACCATCCCGAACATACCAATGGAGCTTGTCAACAATCTGCGTCCAAGGATGTATCATTAAAATGTGCACTTCACCCATATAATCATACAGAAATATAATACACAAGCTTCTATCAAGACACATCATTTCTTTAATCCAAATGCCTATCCGACGAACAAACCCACAATATATATGCACATTATTCACCAAATACAAAACTGTCACCAGTTCAGATAAGTCAACAAATGCTTATGTGCAATTTTTATTTGTCAATGGGTGACAAAGAGATATCTTGTAGGTACTTGTCTCATCAAAGTAACTGACAATTTCAATAATTTCTCATAGAATTTTGTTGTTCAATTTCACTGGTTACAAAACCCTATATGAAGATCAGATTAGATGGTAGCATGTATACCTCAAAATAAAGATTCAATGTAAACAAAAGCAATCAGATGAAGGGACTGATTAACTCATTACTACAAAGAAACTGACTGAAACCTAGCGGGCTGACCAAGTGTCGTTTAAATGTGTAAGATGCTAGCCTCACTAAAAAGCCGAGTAAGGAAGCTAAGGAAATGAAACATCCATCTTCTTTTCTTAATTAAGAAAATCTCACCTCAGAGAGACTAGTGATAGATGAAATCCATAAGTCCTATATTTTCTTGTTTCAAGAAGTAGTATTCAACAAAAAATCAGAAGAATTTCCTAGAAAAGGCAACAGCTATAAGTAAATTTGGAGATTCCAGAATAGCTTTCAGCAAGCATAAATAGAGCAACAATTTGCAAGTTGTTGACTTCCATAGAATATCATAGAAGTGTTACTTTGTGAATGGGCTGGCGAACATTTGGTTACTTCTATGTTGTAAGTACTATTTTTCCCTATCAAATGAAAGGGGCTCCACAGATCTTTAAATTTCATATCAGAAGGTCGAAAATCAATTTATTTATCATTACTTATATATTTCATTCTGGTGTGTAACAATTTGCCAAAAAAGCAAGTGACCGAAGCACTACATCTGCACATAAAACCAACTAAAATTTCCAACTCAAAGATAAAAAGGCTTCAGATTCATAGAACAATCACCTCTTGAAGTTTATCCACTTTCGTAAAATGTCGACCAAAGGACGTGTAGCGCATACCATATACGAATGGTGCAAGATATTCTCTAAGCTTGTCCTGCAGCCAATCAAATCAGCATATGAGAGATTGTTCATCAAGAAAAAAATTGCAACAGGATGAAAAACATTCGATAGGAAGCATAACAAGGGCAACAAATTTAGAGAGTGGGCCATGTGAGTGAGCTAATGTATTTTTCTTTTCTCGAGTATCAGCTAATAGGGAGATAAATAATGCATGAACCTCCAGTGGTTATAAAAGATAAAGAAACAGCTGATTACAAAAAATTTAGATAAATAAATAAAGTAAAACAATATAAAGAAGAATGGTCAAAACAAATAACCGATGCAAGTAATGATGGAAAATAAAGGACCAGATCAAAGGTAAGAAGCCTAATCTACAGTCTGAGCTCACATTAGGTCACAAATAGAGCCAATGCTTTTGATAACTTAAAAGCCTAGCTATTCTTTCCACTTAAGAGAAAAACATGAGTGCAGCCGCAATGCATTGTTTCAATCAAGCACAGTGCAAATTACACCAGACATTGGAGGGAGAAGAGAGAGAGAGAAAGAGAGACCACATCTCAGATTGAAACTAGAATACAAGAATGCCCTCAAATGTGAGTATAGAAAAAGAATATGTGAAGGTGCTGAACCTTCCACGTAAATATCTGCGTTAGAACATTTGGGTCACAGACAGCTTTTGCATCTTCAATGCTGTCTCCTTCCTCTAGCCTTTGCAAAGCAGCTCGAAGAGCCTGCACGTGCAATCTTTCAATTAAAGTATCCTTATTGACGCATTGAGTTAGTGCATAAATATGTACCTGAACTGAACCATCCACTTCCTCAATAGTAATTGCCTTATCGACAGTTGACTTCAGATATTGTGCATGAGTAAGTGGCACTTTCTGCTCTCTAATAACATCTTCCATACTTACTGAAGATACAGCTTCTTTCATTAGATTCAAAAGCCTGCTTATCGTGGGAACACATAATTGAAGAATTAAATAGAACGGAACACATCCTACAGATGCGCATTCGCTGATCATTAAATACCAACTAAGATAGCAGACGAGAACGAATTACCTCCTCTCTGTGTCAGCATGTAGTGCAGGAAGTGAGTCATCTGACTTCTTGGAAGCAGGCTGCACTGCTCTTCTCTCTTCACTATCTGGTACAACTTGTTTTCCTGGTTTTATTTGCGTAGATGCCTTTGTCATGAATGAATATAACCTTTCACCTGGAGAAGTGTGCTCCCTCATGGTCAAAGACGTGCTGGGCTCCAAGAACCTGGACTTGGCAGTATCCTCGTGAAATTTCTTGGATGCATCTGTCGCTTTGGCTTTCTTGGCTATATCTTGTCCAGATGATATATTCACTTTTTTGTTTATACAATTTTCGCACTTAAAAATCTGCACTGCCGGTCAACGTCACGACAAAAGTACAATTAGAAACCAGAGCTAAAAAAAGGCCCAGCAGAATATTATCACAAGAACGGGTCTTGAATCTAAACGAAATAACAGGAACAAGAATAACCTTGGATTTTGCCAATGCATCATCCCTCCCTATAGCCTCTTCAATTAACGCCACATGGTCCTGCAAATCCTTTGCAGAAGGCTGGACCTCATAGAACCTATAAACCAGATTGAGAAAGGGTAAAATCACACATGCACCATAACACGTGAAGATGGTCAAACGGTAAGACTGATAAGAGCGTACCCCAAGGTTCTAGCCAAGTGCTCCCACAGCGCTTCTCCGGACGCGTCCGGGTGATTCTTGGCGTAGTGCAGGCAGTGCAACGTGATCAACACGGTCCTGATCGTATCCTGAAAGCGCCTTCTCGGCTTATCGAGCTTGAAACAGATGTTGTCCTTTGAGAGCACCGACACTTCGGGCCTCGAGCAGCTGAGATCAAACCTCCAAGACTTGACCTCTCTGTAAATCTTCCTGAGGCCGTTATCGGCAGTCCCATGCAAGAAGATGGTCTCTGCTGCTGCATCCTCGCAATCCTCCCGGTCGCTCCAGCTTACCGGTAGGACGGAGAACGAGATCGGCTTGTTGTCGTGGTCCTCGAAATAGTAAGTGGAGACCGTTTCCGACGAAGTCTCGGCATCATGGTCGGAAGAGGACGCCATGTTGCCTACGAGAGAAATGGGCAACAGGAGCGAGGCGTGCGCATTTTATGAGGCGGGGGGGCAGAGAGTGAGAGAATTGTACGGGGAGTGCCTGTCCAATAGAATCCGTTAAAAATGAGTAACTGTTTGCTGAATTTAGGTGGAGCTGTCGGAGGAGCGAAGGTATTTATAGGAATGGGAAATGAGCAGGACATCACTGAATAAGATAACATATGAAATTAAGAGGATTTGTTATATCATTGTTTGGTGAATTGCGAAAATAAAACTGGATATTTTAAATCTTATTTTGTCCATTGTTTGTTTTGAATGGCATATTAGTGTAAATAAATCTAAAAATTGCATAAACAGAGATGGTAAGAATCTTTTATGCACTCTTGTGACATCCCGACATTTCGCTCATTTGGGATTTATGAAATGAATTATTTTACGAATGTGCTCGTAGTTAATTCTCGCCCGGAACTGATCATTCCTGGGATATTAACCAGTAGGGAAATGCTAATTAGGGATTTAAAATTCGTACGACTAAAGATAATTCAATCGTGAATGGACTTTCGACCATAAAATCGTCGAGGTGATATTTTGAGCCACTGTTGGCCGATCCAAGGATAGGTAGGGGTCAGCTCGCCACTGTCATAGTAGTGGATCGCGGGTGATTCCGCTGGACCGCGAAATGACTTGACGAATAATACTGAATCTATACCAAACGATCACACCCCTCGGATCTAGCAATTGATCCTCGCGATTTTAATGACAATCGAAGTCATTACGGTCTGAATAAATTATACGTGACTCGATTTAGTATCAGTCACGAGTCGTACAGGCGAATTTCCCAAAAGCCACCCGTTAGTCTGAGAAACGCTCGAGTTACGTTATGAATATTTAATTGGAATATTGAGTAGAGACCAAACCGAGCGTCAGAAAATTCGGAAAGTCGCGGCAGGACCTTTGGACGACGTTGTATTTGGAACGTACATCTCTGGATTTCTTCGGATTTTTCAGAACGGTTCGATTTCGGCGAGAAACGGAGAAAGTGACCATTTTACCCTTGGTAGTTATTAAAGGGTTAGTTTTAAAGGGCAAGGGCATTTTGGTAATTTTGCCCTAAAAGTTGGAAAAGACCATTTTACCCTTGGACTTTTTGAGAAATTACGAGATTGCCCTAGGATATTTTTGGCAAGATTTGATCTGGGCCGTCGGTTTCAAGATTAGATCGAATCTGGACCTTTGGATCAAAAAGATTAGACAAGGGCATTTTGGTCATTTGCCATTTTAGTCTAAAATGCATTATTTAAGTCCACAAGACCCATTTCTCTCTCCTCTCTTCTCCCTCTCCCCCGTGAAACCCCCACCGTGAGCAGCCCCCCCTTCCGATCTTTCTCTCTCCCTTCGCCGTCGCCGCCGCGCCATCGCCGCCGCCGGTCACGCCCGCCGGATCGCCGCCGCGCCACCGCCAAGCCTCACGCTCCCCATCCCGCCGTTCTCTCTCTTCCTCTCGGTCTCTCTCTTGGCCGTGAGCCAGCCGGCCACCGCCCAAGCCGATCGCCGCCGCCAGAAGCCGTACGCCGTCGCCGCCACTCGCCGCCGTTCCCGATTGAGAGCCGCCGCTTTCCGTTCTAGCCGCGATAGTCTAGAACGCGGGTAAGTCGCGCTCTAAACCCAACTTAGGGTATTGGGTATTGACGGATGATTTTTGGGTGAAATCGGGTTTAGATTATGTGCAAAATGTTGTGATTCAGGAGTGAAATCAATTGGGGGCCTAAAATTGAATTTCGGAAAATTTTCATTGGAAATTTGAGGACAACAGTGGGCTGTGGACTACTGTTCATGGGGCTGTGATGGACCGATCGGGACGCAAGTTGGATTTTTAGAATCGAGAATTAATGGTGAGAAAGTTCCGTGAAGGACCGGAATCGGTTCGGGGCCATTTGGTTAGAGAAAAATAGCAATCTCTGTGTTTTTCGTGCGTTGGAATTATGACCAAGTGTGGTGTTGGAAATTGAGTGTGTGATTGTGTAATTGGTTGACTTAATTATGTTTGTTGGGTGCACGTTGGGCCAGATTATTTTAATTATTAAAATTGGCCGTGTCGACTGTTGAGTGAGCATGATTTGTGAATAATGGTTGCGTGCACGGGTCACGTGTGATTGGCCAGTTAAGTGGCAAATGATTGTTGTACGTGTGAAAGAACGAGAAATAGTGTGTGGTACGGTATGTGAGATCCTAGAAATTGTGCCGTCCTGAGGCGTGTTCGTTTACGTGGGACGATGCCCGGTATTACCGGAAGACTGCCAGCCTGAGGCGTGTACTTCAACGCGGGTTGCGCAGTAGGTGGTAGATGTTGAGCCTGAGGCGTGTACGTTTACGCGGGCAAGAAACATGGCCTGAGGCGTGTACGTTTACGCGGGCCCGGAAGTGTTGTGGAAAGAGGTCGCAGTGTACCTGAGGCGTGTACTTTAACGCGGGTCACTGGCGAGGAATGTGGATGAGATATGATGAGAACGGAAAGGAATGTGATGAGGCAAACGTAAATGCGCGAGAATGAGAATTAATCATGCATGTGATTGCTTATAATGGGACTGCGACTAACGTGCAGGGTACAAGCAGGATAGCCCAGGTAAACTAATTGTTGGGCAAAAGGACACTATAAGTGCAATAACTTGTGTACGGAGATCACTTTGGTGCTATAACTTTTTTTCGGATCACTTTGGTGCCAAGTCGGAGGAAAAACGATCACTTAAGTGTCATAAGTTTTTTTTGGATCACTTCAGTGCTAAAATTTTTGAAAAACGATCACTTAAGTGTTAAAATTTTTTATAAACGATCATTTAAGTGCTAAAATTTTTGAAAAACAATCACTTAAGTGCCAATCTCCGGCGAGCCACGTCAGCTTCAGAAATTAATAAAAAAAATGCCACGTCGGATTTCCGGCGAAAAATTATATACGGCACCGGAGTTGGCACTTAAGTGATCGTTTTTCAAAAATTTTAGCACTTAAGTGATCGTTTTTCAAAAATTTTAGCACTAAAGTGATCCAAAAAAAACTTATGGCACCAAAGTGAGCGCCGTACACAAGTTATGACACTTGTAGTGTTCTTTTGCCCTAATTGTTGTGCCTACTATGTGATGGTTTGGCGTTTGTGTGTGATTGGTGCTTGTGTAGTTGTCTGGAGGTACGTGATAGCCTAGGTGGGGTTTAGAGGTGAATTTGCTGAGAAGTGTTCTCACGGTTGTTTCAACCAAAAATTTTAGAACCCCGACAGGACTCATGAATCTTCCGCCACCGCCACCAGTGCGTTTTGGGGTACCAGTGCACTCCGAGATCGATGTTGCAGAATTCCCTATGCCAGATAACATGACCTGGATTAGGTATACTACTACCGTATTTGTAGAGGTAGGACTACCTCTTTGGGAGACTCATGTATATACGGCTTGGTTCTTCCGGGATGCTGACGGGGATGAGTTCGGGCCCGTTAGGGGTTTTGATGTCCCATTTGATTTAAGAGGGGACTGGGACCCGTCTGCAATACCCCCTATTGACGGTGAGTTGACCAGCGTAGAGACTAGTCTAGCCCAGTCAGGAATGCATCCGGCGTCGGCCGCGCAAGTATCGTCAGGGGCTGAGCATGAACCAGAACCTGAAGCATCTCAGGCTGAGGACGACCCGATGGACATAGACTTGGAACCGATCCCCGAAGAAGAACCAGAGGAAGCGGAGCCCGAAGTAGAACCCGAGGTAGAGTGTAACAGTCTGAATTTTCGATCCTTTTCCCGGGATCTATGAAATGAATATTTTGGCCAATGCACTTGTAGTGAAATCTCACCCGGAAATGCACATTCACGGGATGCTAACTTTAGGGGTAGGGCTATTACGGGATTAAGTTCGCACGACCAAAGAACTCGACCTGGGTTCGATCTTTGACCATATGGATTGACGAGGGAATGTTTTGAGCCAACCGAGACCGGTCTATTTGATTGATCGTGTCCGAAGAGAACTAGCGATAGACCCTCGCAATTATATGACAACCGAGGTCGTCCCGGGTAAAGTAAACTTAAACGTGATTTGACTTGGTGTCGGTCACGGGTCGAGAGCGCGTAATCCCAATGAGCCACCCGTTAGCCGGAGATAAGCTAAAGTCGCGATTGTTCGATTTTAGTCATTTCTTGGAGTTCGGGCCCGGGAATCGAGAATTTTGAAAGTGACAATTTTGAGCGGCTGATGACGTTTTTGGCTTGGCCAACCTTGGGGCCACCCATTTCTGCAAAAAAATGGATTTCGGTTCGGGACCGGAAAAATTACGATTTTGCCCCTCTAGACACCAACGTTGGTTTTTGAGGTAGTTTGAGGTTATTTTTCACGGCCGATGTCATTTTGGGGTGGCCACGCACATTTAGAGTCGTTACGGTCAAAAATTGGAATTTTGGCTCGGAAGTGAAAAATAATATTATTTTATTCCCAGGACTTTGCAGTCGATTTTCGAGGGCTTAAGAAGCTATTTTCACGATTCTGACGCCATATTATGTTGGCCACGCATATTTAGAGTAGATTTGGACAAAAATTGGAATTTCGCCCCGAGACCGGAAAAATGACCATTTTGCCCCTAGGCCATTTTCAGTTCCGAATTTTGGGAAAATTTTTGGGATAATTATTAAGGATTTTCAGCTGCATTATTGGACCTTGGACATTTTTACCCCTCAATTATTTGGATAGGATCAACGAGAACCGTCGGATTAGGGTATTTTGGTCAAAACTCCCGGATCGCGACACGTGGCGTCCACTAGCCATCATATTTGACCAGCTTGGACTATTTCTCTCTCTCCTCCTCCCCTCATTCAGCCAACTTCCCCGAACTCTCACTCTCTCTCTCTCTCTCTCTCTCTCTCTCTCTCACTCTCTTCATCTTCGTTTCCTCCCATCACCATTGCTGATGCTGCTGCTGCTGTTCCGCCCGTTTCAGCCACCCATCCAGCCCGTTCGTCTCGCCTTTCTTAGGTAAGTGTCT